GGGAAGGGAGAAAGGGGCGCGCGGAGGGGGACGTGAGTTTTTAATTGAGACCTTCTGAAAAGTAACCTGCAGGGGTGTCGTGGGGGTGGGACAGGCGCCCTCCCCGGCTCCGGTGCTGCTTCCGTGCGGGAGCTCCGCGAGGACGCGGTGGAAGCAGGTGGCTGGGAGAGGGGCAGTTCCCGGGGCTGCTTTTTTAAAGCTGAGAGGGGGCTATTAGGCTCGGCGGGGGGGCTGTTTGCTTTCCTCCTATTCTTACAACTGTGTCTAACCCAAAGCTACTCCCCTGCCTCACCTGCTTTGTCCGTCTGGCAGCAGCAGCAACTTCTCACCTGTCTCAGTTGGAAAGCAATAAGGGGGGAAAACAGAAGAGCCCATCCCAAAGCCCCCTCGCCCCCACCAATCCAGGCAAAAGGAATCCCCGGCAGCTTTCCTGTCTCTCACCTGTTTCAGCCCCAAAGCAGCAGCTGTGTCCTCCCTTCCCTCTCTCGACTCAGCTCTGAACCAGCAGCAGGAGCAGCCGCTTCCCACTCGCCCTCGCCCGGAGTTCAGGATTCCATTGTCCCACACACTGCATTTGGTGACATCACTGACACACAAAGAAGGGGCACTTCGTGATGTCATCAACGCATGCTGGGAGAGAAAACAAAATCCTGGGCTTGGCAGCGACAGCACGAACACACACTCCCACACACGCACCCCCACACTCTTCAATTTTCCAAAGGTAAAATTATTAGGGATTTTTTCTTCCCCCCCGAGTCTCCTGATGAGGATCCCGTCTGCGGGAAAAGGCGTGTTGTATTCGCTAGCGTGTTTGTATTCGCGAGGCGATTTACTCATCTCCCTGAAACCTCTGCTGTCCATCTCTCCCTCCCTGTCCACCCAACGGAGAAAAGTGATTTGGCTGGAGCCACCCACCACCCCCAGCCCAGGCGTGGGCGAGGGGAGCAGCCCCGGTGGGCAGCCGCGGCTCTTCCTGGAGGTGCCGGACCCACTCGTGAATGGACAATGGGGACCGGCATTCCCACCGACCTCACCCGGGGCACATTTGGCTTGATGCCTCCAGTTTCCACAGCCTATCGAGGTATCACCTATCGAGTTACTTGGTGTCTTCAGTGGCCGAAAATACACTGCACTGTCACCACCACGCAATAATGGATCGGAGTCCTCCCACGGGAGGACCTCGAGGTGATCCGCAGGCACACACGACTGGCTGCTGGCTCGACAGGGCGCTGTTGCGACATGACGCCTGGGGAGTCCCCAGGGGTCAATTACAAAACCGAAGCCGCCGGAGCGGCGGGGGACGGAGGCGGGGGGACACCCCGAAGCTGGACATCTCCGCCTCACAGCGACCGGGGGCGGGAGGGGGGGGCAGGGCCGAGGCTGCTTCTCCTGAAGCCGGCTGTTCCCATCTGACGCTGCCGGGTTCTGCCGTTCCCGGAATGCCAAGATTGGCCCCAGCGGTCGGCGCTTGCGCGGCTCGGGTCCGCCATGCGAAAGCCTTCCCATTCCCTCGAGACGGCCCTCGGGCTCCCGTGGAACCCGGGCCCCCTGCCCGCGGTGGAACCGTGCTGTGAGGCCGCCCCCGGGAGAGGCCTGCCCCCTGAGCGAGCCTGGAGGCTGAGTGGGGATGAAACCTTAAAGGCTGGGTTAGGTAATGGGTGCCTGTGGCTTCTTTTGGGGTCAGCTGTCAGCAGGACTGCCTGGGGATGCTGTGCCCCTGCTCCATGGGACAGCAGCTTCACACTTTGTGACTCAACACAAGGATCTAGTCGTGGCACTGGTCTTTCACCATTTATATCCCCTAATCCTTGAATCAGAGGTATCCCTAGAGGGGACATCCATGCAGGAACAGTCTTTCCCCTTGTTACCCTCTCCTCTGCAGCACTGCATATGCTACTTCTCTCTCCTTATCCTCTCTCTTTCTCTCGTTTTCTGCACATATCTCAGCAGCACATCATTTCCTCTTGATCCATCCCAAAACTACATACACTCCCCAAACTTGCCGCCCAACCTCCTGGTCGAGCCATGCAGTGTGTTAGACACATACACCCCAGTGACACTCTGAGCATCACCCTGACAACAGAAGGAATTCCACTGGAGTGTCAACCTTACATGGTCTTTGAGTGGGGAGTTTTGATTTTGGAGCTTTTTTTTTTTCTGCTAACACATCTCTTCAGTCTTTATTACCTGTGGTACCATGTATGAGGCCTCAGTGAACTGTCCTGCAAAAGCAGTTTGCTAGCAGAGACAACCTGTCTAGTTTGACCTGTAGGAATGACACTTAGGAAGCCGTAGTCGTTCTTCCCTCTAGTAACTGGAGCTTTGACATCTCCACCACTGACCACGGCCTTGAAGACACGTAAAACTTCATGAAAAATGGCATTTAGATAAGGTGGGCGATCTGATGGCTTCATGCCCCTCCTCGACAAAAGGGGGTCAGAATTCAGCTCCTGTAGACTTAACAGCAACCAGCTGCTCTGTCAGCATTCTCCTAATTGACCCAGGGGGCTGTGGAGGGTGGGGCTGGCGGTATGGTGGTATGAGTCAGGTGACAGATGCAGAAGATGAGAGGACACAAAACAAGGTGACCAGGCTTCACAAATTTTACTGCTTATGGAACAACTCTTTTAAAACAGAAATTCTTCTCTTTCGCCGCAAACAAACCTCCAGCCCTTTCCTGTCATCACAGGAAACATGCACCAAAGTCAAGTCAGACAACTGTTATTAATAATGAAAGCCCTCCACTTCTGTAATAAGGGGCAGGAAAAATGTAAAGAGTGCTATAAAATCACACAGGCACTTTTCCTATATTATGTTAATAACCTTGGTAGGGGGTTATCTGTAAACTAACCTTTTCTGCAGCACACAGTCCTTGGTAACCCTGTTCAAAGTAATAATACGATAACCAGCAGCAGCAGTTATTTACTTTGAAGCCTACCCAAAAATGCTTTTGCTGAAAGCACCTACTAATGTCATCGCTTGAGCAGCTGTTACAGTGGCAACTCCCATATTATGACTCACCTTCTAGGTCATGGTTAGGATCAGCAATGGGCTGTTCTCCTGTGCTAGCCATGCCATACCCACAGCCGTGGAGAGAGGGGGGGCCAAGAAGCCGACTTCTGTGCCCGGAAATGTTTTTGCAGCTTGCCTTGCTACCATGCTTGGCCTCTCAGCTTTGCATGGACATGGAAGAACTGCAAAAGAGTGTAAAACATGATCCTCTTTTCCAGCAAATACGAGAACTAACTCCTGTAATCAATCTCATCCCATCTTAGGAGTTTGGACAAAACCTCACTGATCTGCTTGTATTTCTTTCCTGTGAAGTGTGTGCACTTCATTGGGTGAGCTTTCCTTCTTATCAGTGCTTCCTCTCGCTGCGTCCTTACTTTTTTTTATTTTCTTGAACGAGTTGTGCTAAGGACTTGCAGAGCAAAACTGACCCAGATTATTCATTTTCCCTGTGCCCCAAGCCTTTTTAATCGATGGCACTAGCTCAGTGTAGCAACTGAATAGGATTAGTCACTTTTCCCTCTGGATCGAGTTTGGAGGAGGCTGCAAAGATAGATGGCTGAAATCAAGTTGCCTTTGGGGCTTTGAGCTTAATTCACAACAGAAGGTAGCCAATTCAAATCACTCTGAGCCTTCCACTAAGGGAAGGTGACTAGGATTAGTCCCTTTGTACCATCTCAGTTCCAAATACATTTTCAGCATTATTTCTGGCTGGTCTGTTTGGGTCTGAGCCAAAGCCCCTTATATTTCCAGCAATTCCAGTGAGTTTTGCATCAGACCTTTTGTGGGGAGCAGAAAGAAATGATCATATTTTTGTCTCTCCTAATGTCAGCTTGCTGGTAATGTCACACTTACAAGTGACAGCAGCAAATCCAGAAACATGCTGATACCTTACACAGCCCTGGGATGACACATTTTGTCCTTTTTGTCTGCCCCTGTGATACAAGGTGAGGTGGCAAGGAAAAGCTACACTAAACTCAGGATTTACAACACAGCTTTTGAGTAAAGCTAGACAGAAACTCTGAATTGGGCCAAAAGAGGAAGGAACTTCATTCAAATGAGACAAAATGTAACAGAGAAACCAAAAGTGGCTTATTTATGTGACATAAGGTAGTGAATTTACAGTCTCACCCTTTGGTTTCCCACTCACAACTATCTTGCCATAACTTAATAATGCTGTCCAACTTCCCTTGCTGTAATTTTTTCACACAATACAGCTCTTAGTCCTTAGAGTTTTATCTTTTTCAATTCCTTACAGAAGAATGAAAGGGTCCACAAGCAGAAAAAGAATTGTTTCCTCTCCTTTTATTCCAGTACCAAAGAGGACTCAGTTGTGAAGGAAAAGTTTAGATCTCATTGTCAGACCCTTGCTGCTTGCTACTTGGTTTTGGTTCTGTTAGAGACTAGTCCTGGGACCTGTCTGAAGGCCTTGCTGTGAGACTGTCGTGTGGGCAGAAAGACTTGAGACCTGTTTCGTGTTTTGACCTTATTAAAGTCCTGGCTGAACTCCCATAGATATGAAGAGCAGCTGGCAATTAATTCCAAATGCTTAAGCAGAGAAGTATAGCAGCATATAACTATACATATCTTCTGCCTCTACTGTGCTTCTTTTACGCCTCTGCTGGTATATGGTCTGGTTCGTTTTGGTAATTGAAAAACTGGAGATGCTTAGAACAATTAAATTTTGCAGCTTCATAAGAAGTTTCAACAGATATATTTCCAGGGGGTTCTGCCTTGCTTCCAGGTGATGAGATTGAGTCTTAAAATTGCTTTATCTTGAAGATACAATGATTCATTTCTTTCTCGTTTTGCCCAGTCTGTAGCTAGTACTTAGCGACCAGGACTGAGAGCTGTGTGGTTCTTCCCCTGTCTATGTCTCTATAGCATTGATTCCATATTTCTGATCTTCATTTTCCATCCTGAAAAAAAAGAGAATGATGTTCATCTGGAGTTAGACTGAAAGTGTAAATAGAGGTGCACATTCAGACTTCATCCCTAGCCACTCATTAGTCTTTTTTGTTGCTTCCTTTTTGTGCCTGATGGACTTCCTTTTCTGCAGAACAATGCTTCTCCTCTGTGCTTCCTTTGGGCTTTGCAGTAGCTGGCTCTGCTTTTCTTCATAGAATCATAGAATGGTTTGAGTTGGAAGGAACCTTAAAAATCACCTACTTTGAACTCCCCTGCCATGGGCCGGGACACTTTTCACTACACCAGGTTTCTCAAAGCCCCATCTAGGATCTCTGGATTGCTGTATTCCTTGACTTTTTCTCTTCTGGCAGTGCACGCTCCCCTAGTTCAGATGTTTTCCTTGTTTCTGCCTATTTTTCAATTTACAGGAACTGCTGCTTTATTGATCATCATCAGCTTTCCATTTCTACATACCACTTTTCCTTGGCAGCAGTACTCAGGTTCTGAAGAAACTCAGAAAGTGGAATACTAGATTAATACTAGATTAAGTAGTAGGAGGACTATCATCAAACAGTAGTACCATAGGAAAGATCCCAAGGTGATGACATTCCTGCTGGCAAGACCTGTGGGAGAGATGAAAGATGTTGTCCAACATGACCCACACAAACAGACTCCT